GAGGTACCTTGTGATGCTCAATGAGACGCTTCCTCGGTTGCTTGACTGTCCACTCCCTGGGAGCAGAGACTGACCCCCACCTCACTACAACCTCCTGTCAGGCAGATGTCGAGGGAATTGTGCTCAGAGCGCCCTAAATCCTGACTTGCATTGGACTCCTGTTTCCAAGAAGTACCTACTATGGTGTGATGGGTGGCCTTCAAGGTGTAAGACCAGATTCTGTGCTTGTATGTGGGTGCCTGTAGTGCTCATGGGACACTGCGGCAAGGTGCTACAATGTGCTTTTGGTCTAGGAGGTCTGGCATTGCTTCTGGCCTAGGAGATCTGTTGTGCAGTGCAGGAAGTCACCTCTACAAGTTGTTTTTTTTTTTTCTTTTCCCCATCAGTTGCTGCATTCCCTCAGGATCCCTTTGTCAGCACAGGAAACTGCAGTAATTAGCAAGGCCTCCCGAGCTTGTGCATGGCTGACAGACACTATATACTGAGATGCTTTTATTGCTGTCAGTAATAAGAGTAATTATGCTGATCATTTGCCTTTGGTGGCTCTGTGAGACTGTTAACACAGAATCAAAAGCCTGGGGGCAGGATCTCGCCCTCTTTGAGGGGAGAGATCAGAGCCAGCACTGGTACGTGAATTTTAGGAGACAGCGTATCCAGGAAGAGCCAGCCCTCGAGCAGCTGCTCCCTTACTGTCCTGTCTCCCCTTGGTGCAGAGCCCCAGAAAGTAGCTTCCCCAGAAGAGAAGGTAATATGTGGCTTGGGAATAGTTCTCAGCAGTCTTAGTCCTGCTGGAAGCCTCCAGCCTTGTGCTAAAAGCCTGCTGAGGAACCATCTGGGTATTTGGCAGACTAATACCCTGTTTTTCCTCGACTTCTGACACAACTTACAGGAGGGCTTGACAGTTCCTGAGTGGGAGCTCTCCTAAAGCAAATATCATCTTGTTTGCTGTGGACCACCGACCTAGGCTCAGAGCATCCTTTGTGATTCTGCACACCCAGGGCAAGGGAAGAGCAAGCTTAGCCTCAGCTCCTTGATTCATTACTTCAAGGGCAGGTTGAAGGTGTGGGCAGTGTCTGCCTCCAGCTCCGTAGTTGTCAGTCGGATTGAGCTTTCCTGTGCTGGGTTAGTTACTGTCCCCAAAGGAGGTGGGTGAAGGAACACCTCCCCTCCTGAGCCCTGGACAGCAAAACTTGTTCTTTGCCAAATTTAGGTTATTCCTGTACGGGAGAAGAGAGCAGCTGAATATGCTTCTCCAGTGCAGCACACTAGGAGCACTGGAGAGCTACCATGGCGTGTCGTTTGGGTTGACCAGTATCTGCCTGTGTGAGCTGCCAATACGGCTGCTAGCCCTGTTGCTGTCCAGAGCGAGCGGGATTAGCAGATCTGTGATCTTCCCCTTCCTTTAAGCCAGCACAAACTCCTGTTAGGATAGACGCAACTTCCTTGGGGCAACGCAAGAAGCAAAAATAACAATAAAAAATTTCCTGGGTAGATCTCAAAGAACTGAATGGGAATTGCTCTTAGTGTGGCAGCAATGCTCAGGGCTCCAGGGAGGTAGCAGAGGTGGATCTAGGTCTTCTACCCTACATAGGATGCCCTGACTTGCTGCCCTGAGACGGCTCTGTCCTCCTTGGTCTGCAGCAGAGCCTCTGGAGCAATGAGTGATGACTGCCAGCTCGAGAAAACACTGATGTTTAATCTCAAACGGGGAAAATGAGGCATGAAATCACTGCAAAAACTAAGGCATATTTAAAAGCGACTAATTGGGGAGCTGACGTGGAGCTCTTTAGTCACCCATGGAATGACAGCAAGTTTGACGTGGTGTATTAGAGCCATTTGGATTTGGTGGAGGTGATGGGTAACTACAGGCCTGGGCGTGCTTGACTGGCAGCAGGAGAAGCAAAGCCTGTGCATCTTGGCTGCAGCGGTGATAAACTGTGGTAGGGGCTACATCACATTGCAAATGGGCTGGGGGGCATCATCAGCCATGTTAGTGACCGTTCAGCTCCTGCATGGGTTGGCATGGGGTTGCCTGCTGGGAATGTAAATGTGTCGGAATGCTGAATCCCTTTCTGCAGGTAAAACTGATGCTGGGTTTAGTGGAATTGGCTTACTTCAGTAAATGAGGCCGCCTATGCAAGGGCTTGGCAGTGTTGGTGGTCACTGTGTGCGTGCAGGAAGCTCATTAAATCCCAGCCCTGGTTGTTTATTGCTGGTTTGAGGCTGAATGTGTGACTGTCACATGGATGTGCCAGAACCTCTGAGCATCTCTGCTACCCGCAAGGGTAAAGCATCTGAGGAAAGCACTGCCTTGCTGTGATACTCACCTGCGTGTTTGTGTAAACTTTGGAGAACACAACCACCTTTGCATAGCTCGGTTCTCTTTCCTTTAAGAACCCCCCAAGGGTCTTGTCATCTGTCTTGCAAGGCTGGCATCGCAATTGATGCCTTCCAGGAACTTGTTTGAAAATGAAATGAAAATCCTATTGATTTAGTCTCTAGATTAAGCCTTTTCCTTTCTCTCTCTCTTTTTTTCTCTTCTTTGTAAATCCACTGATGGATGTGGATAGGCAGCAGGGTTTAACCGAGGTTTAGCCCTTGTTGAGTTGCATTTTGCATTCCTGAGATCACTCAAACAAGCTCTGAGTGCTCTCGAGTTGTACTGACTTCAGCCAGAACGGAGGAGGCTCGGTATTTGCCCGAGCAAGCTCCCTGCCTCGTTAGATGCTCGAGTCATCCCTGTGTTGCGCAGGGTCCCAGGATGGGAATGCCAAAACCATTTTCTTGGTTTTAATCTTCGTCTTAATCAAGTGTTTGCAGGGGCTCCGATGTCACCGTGAGTAGCGTTAAGTTACCCTTGAGCTCAATTCATGGCAGCAGA